TCAAATTTCTATTTCTCAATTACAGGTTTAAAAACTTCTAACGAACGGGGTACTACTCGGTTTACGGGGGCGTGTGTAATGTTCAAAAAAATTTATTGCTCCATATTTAATGGGCTTTATAGAGACAGATATTTTACAGTAGTTTTTGAATTGTCTTAAATTTGGATCCCCAAGTACAGTAGAAAAAGGTTGCATAATTTAAAATCTTTGATTTGTTTTCGTTTTGGTGATAGTTTCAGTTGAATTTTTGTGCCAATTTCCAAAAAATTGGCGCTTTTGGAGACGTAGTTCTCAAATGATACATGTTTGTCCTGGTCTTCCCTACCACACGTCGCTCATGAAAAGGCTTCATTCCAAAAACCCAAAGTATTTTTGACTGGCAAGCTCTAATTCTTCTCATCCAGAAAAAACCCGCAATTCTTTAGCGCATTTTCCATAAGTTGATCAGTACTACTAGTGACCTAGTTACAAGCGACAAAAGACGTACTGGGGGGGGCTTCGTTCACTTAGCCCCCCCCCCCATGTTTTTTTTCGAATTTCTAAAAAACGATAATGGCGCAAGAGTTATTATCGGTGGCGCATATGAGCGCATAACGAGCGCATTCATTTCAAAATAATACGACTATGAAATCTGGGGGGGGGGGGGGGCAAGTTAACGGACCCAGAAAACCAAAGAATTCCAATTACTTCCGAAGATAGGCCAGAAAAACCGTTTTCGTTTGTATTTTTGTCTGATATTATTTAAACAGATACAAAAAAATAAATAACACTTCCTCATTGCAACTTTTTGAGCTCCACAAGACCGCGTTAAGAGATATTCAATACAACGTTTCGTTTCGGAGAAATCATCATCAACTTTCGTTTTTTATATGGCCCGCAAAAAAATTACATACTGTATTAAGTAGCATTTTTTTATTACGAACAACGATGTCCCACAAAAAAACAAAAGTTTGCAACCCTGTTGCTTTCAACGGGATATTTTCCAAATCTTACTCCATGCTTCTCTAGAATTCCTTGTTCCCTTCGATTCCATTGTTTTCTATTTCCCTAAGATTCCCTCCCTATATTGCCAGAAGTTCCTCCGAAAGTAAAGTTTCCGCATATATGCTGAGAATTCTTTAATTCCGGCTGCATATCTTATTGCCCCTTTCTTGCTTTAAGTTTTCCTATATTTTACAAGATAATTAATTGTATTTCATTAGAACTTGTTTCTTAAATTACTATTTTTCTAAAATTTCCCCTATTTCTTAGAAATTTTGTGTTAGCTCCACAACATTCCTCGTTCTCCAAAGTTTCATCCCCCAAAATGTCTCCGATATCTTCGTACGGGAAATTGCTCTCTAATTTCTGCAGTATTACAGGGTGTTCGATGAATTTTGCCGAGAAGTCCGCTCACAAACAGTTGCTTAAAATTAAACGGGATAGTTTAAGACAATAAAATTTAATTAAGATACAAGAAATTACAATGATATGTCAATTTTGATTAATAACATAAACGGTGGGCACAGCGACAGTCGATGGAACGGTACTAAAGCCCCACCTGCAGATTCGGAACGGGCGGTCGCGATTTCCCAAAGCGGGAACGGAAGCACAAATTAATTATCGGTATCTAGCGGGAAACAAAACAAAGACTTTTATAATTATCGGGATGAAAACCTTGAAATTAACGGGAATACGCAAAACGGAAAAAGATCCCAAAGTACGGAAAGGGAACAACGGAATTTCCAGTCCGCCGGCGTACTCGCGTGATAACGTCCAAAAATTAAAAATCTGGGACCAGCCTTGAAATTCATGCCAATTAAGCGCGCATCATTTGACACTAGCACATAATCAGACGAGGTTTTCCGCAACATAATTTATTAACGACGGTTAATTATACTTGACCAAATGCCCTGGCTGACATTCCGAAATTCGGTATGTCAATTAACCCGGACTCCTGAGATCAAGCGACAGGTCACAGGGACCTTGCCGGTTGCTATCCTAGTTTTAAACTAACACACGAAACTACGAAGGGAAGATCATAATATAATCTAATTAAAATTTCCATGCATTCCTCAAAAACGTTTTTGTCCTGCAAGGT